GCGTAGTCCGAAATGCGGCCTTCCACTCATCACCCTCCTTGATCCGGACATTGTTGAAGCCCCACCGGACGTCAAGCTTGGAGAAGTAGCGAGCATTCCGGAGTTTGTCCACCAAGTCCGAGATGAGCGGAAGTGGGTACCGATTCTTGACCGTCATGTTGTTGAGCTTCCGGTAGTCCTGGACCAAGCGGAGCGATCCATCCTTCTTCTTAACAAAGAACACCGGGGCAGCCATGGGCGACTTGCTGGGGCGGATCCGACCAGTCCGGAGATTTTCTTCCAGGAATTCGTCCAGCTGTTTCTGTTCCGCCGGGGACAGCGGGTAGCACTTGGTAGAGGTCGGTTCCGCTCCGTCCAGTAGCTCAATGGCATGGTCCCACGGACGCGGCATGGGCAGTTCATCAAAGGATTCCTTTGCAAAGACGTCCTCGAATTCCTGGAGGAAGTCCGGGACTGCGCTGTTCCGAGGATCGTGGGGTTTGTTGCGCTGGAAAGCCAATGCGAGGCGCTGCGAGACTGTCTCCGAAGCCCGGACGTGTTCTTCCCGAAGACTCCGAAGGTACTCCGGAGTCGGAGGAGGAATAGCCACAAAGATACGGTCACCCCTCTCAAGTCCGGAGTCGTCCGGAGTTGTAACATTGTCATCCTCATCATCATCCTCGCAGTCCTGAAGCCCTGGGAGATCGTCCGAGTGCAGTTCCTCAACCCTTGGCATTGGACCCATACGACACTCCCGGAGCCGCACGGACTCCTTGCGTCGGGTCAGCTTGTCATGTCGGAACTCCTTCCGACAGGTGTCGCATCCGGACGGACAGCGGCTCATGGTCACCTCCTTTGTCTGCCAGTCAATCTCGGGGTTGTGTTTCCGAAGCCAGGTGTATCCGAGGATGATGTCCTGCCGTCCGATGTTAGTGACTGCGAAAAGCATCCGTTCCGTGTGATCCTTGAACCGGAGTACAAGGTCCACGACTTCGGAGATGGATCCGTTTTCGTTTGGTGATCCATCGACATTGAAGACCGGGATCGGGGCGGACAGCTTGCGCCGGGTGAAACCATGGGCATCAGCGAAGCGCGGATGCATGAAGACTCCGGTGGCTCCACAGTCCACCAGGGCCTGCAGGGTGCATCGGTGTTGTGTATCCGTGCTCTGCACTTCAATGGGTATATCTAGCGAAAGCTTGCCGGGCAGCGCAGAGATCTTATAGCTACTGGGTAGCCGCCGTTCCCACTGCGGGCGAAACCTTCGGAGTGTGCGGATTGTAACCGGAGTCGTTTGCTTAGTGTCGGACGAATCATCGGAGTGATTGGAATCGTCTATTTCGTCTACGCTAAGACAAGCAAATCGGTTATTTACCAACGAGGTCGCACTGATCACTCGTTGGTCCGGACAAAATCCGCCGTGTCCGATTCCTCAACCGGGGCCGTTCCCTCATCGTCTATTCCTTCCGAAGTCCCCGCACTTTCTACAACATCGGCCGCGGTCAGGAGATCTTCAATGGCGGACATCCGCTCCTCGGTGGTCATGAACCGGACGTCGTACCGAAGTGGGCACTCGCGGGACATGTGGCCGGGCTTGCCGCATCGGTAGCAGAGCTGTGAAGCGGCGGGCCGGGAGCGGGTGTGGTCGACATCCATGGGGACGCCGGGTGAGAGAGCCTTTGGAGGAGGTGGAGGTTGGAAACGGGGTTGCAAAGGTGGGAGCTGAGTCCGAGGCGTGGGGAGCACACCCGCAGGAGTCCGAGCGACTCCGGAGCCGGCTGCTGGTCGGACGAGGGATCCGGAGTGTCCGGAGTTTCCGGAGTGCACACCAAAGTGGAAAGATTGGTTAGCAGCACGGTTGTCAGCAACCCGCTGTGCTGCCTTGTACCATTCCTCGAAGTCATCCTCGTCCGGACAGTCTGCGGACTCGGCAACGCGGCTCTGGATGATGGAGTCCAATCCACGACGGAACTTCATCGTGATGTTGGAGCCCTCAGTGTATCCGGACTGGTCTACAAGGTCCCGGAACTCGTCGAGGTACTCCTGGAAAGTCCGGCGCCCTTGGTGGTACCGGGTGGACTCCAGTTTTAGCATGGCAGCTTCGCGTTCCCGATCCGGAAGGAAGCGAGTCCGGAACTCGGTTGCGAAGGCGGCCCAGGATGCGAAGTACGGATCCTTCGGACTCCGGAGCACCATGTCCGCGTACTCCTTAGCTCGATCCTTCTGGAAGAAGGAGAGACACCAGAGGATTTTGGCCTGCTCGGTCGGAAAGTGGTCCGGACAGAGCTGGAAGTAGATGGAGCATGCGTTGTAGAACGCGCGACCATCCTTGCGGTTCCCGTCGAAGATCGGGGGAGAGGCGGGCTTCAAGCGGGAGCGCGGGGTGTTTTCGGATCGACTCGGGGCGTGCTGGGAGGCTTCAGTGCCCCTCAGCTCGGAGTCCGGAGTTGTTTTCGGAGTAGTCGGACGGGGTGTTAAGAGGAGTCCTTCAATTCGGGCGAGTGTATCCTGGATGGAGCTGATTTGGGTTTGGTGTTCGTACGTCTGAGCCCACAAGGTCTGCAAAGTCTCGGAGTCCGGTCCTGAAGCGACTGGCTCGGATGGCGGGATCTGGCTGGAGGCGCCCGGCATTTCGGAGTCGTCAGGGGAGTGAGGGATGGAGTTCCTTGGGTCCTCAGAGGTGGGTGGGAGTAGCAGGAGAGCGTCCGGAATGTCCGCAAAACCGGAGAGACGTCGAGAACGAGTCCGGAGTGGCGCAGGACGTTTTCCGTAGGGCTCTGGTGCCAGGATGGGAGATCCTGTTCTGCTGTAAGGGCAACCTCAAGATGGCCGACAGCGCAGGCCTAGCAGAGGGAGAATCCAAAGAGATGAATAAGACTAACTACAATACATGAGAGAGCTGCTCACCTAGCAGAGGGAGAATCCAAAGAGAACAGGATGGGGATTCTCCATGCTAGGAAGCGAAGTATATACTGTAGTAGTGTGGGAGGAATGAAGGGTAACTGTACAGTACACCAGCCACAGGTACGAACGAATATCACAAGGTACGAGGGGGCATGTGATAATGAAGTGGAAGGGGAATGTACAGGAGTCGTGCCAGCGACCTGGGGAAGTGGGGACAAGGAGTAATGAAGTGGGAAAGGAGGATAGAGGTAGCCCGGACGAGCCCCGGAGTGTATCTACGAGTCCGAGCGAGTCCGAAGCGTCCGAGCGAGTCCGAGGTGTCCAAAGTGAGTCCGAGGCGAGTCCGAGGCGCGGGAAGACTCCGGAGTCACCGGACGTGGCTCGGATGCGAAAGGAGTGGGCGGAAAGGAAGTGGAAAGGAAAGGAAGCGAAAAGGAACAAAGGGGAACGAAGGAAATGTAGGTAAGAGTCCATGGGATGAAGGAAAGGAGAGAAAATAGGAGTGTCCCCTTACACATTCCCACCGTCGTCACCGTTCCGGGGATACCTGCCACACCCATTTCAACGGCACCTGAACTCCCCATCCTGCCCATCCCGCCTGTCGCCTTGCCATCGCCCGCTGTTGCCTCGTCATCGCCTCCTGCCGTCTCATCCCCTGTCGTCTTGCCTTCATCGCCGCCTGTCGCCTCGTCGCCCGTCCCTGCCGTCTCATCCCCCGTCCTCTTGCCTTCAACCGCCGCTGGCGTCCCAACAGGAAATGCTGAAAATGCGGAGACGGTGGGCCCTGTTGCTGACGTTGGTTCTGATGTCAGTCCGATGATTGGGAACCCCGCACCGCTCCGTCGCCGCAAAAGAGCTCTGGATGTAGGAGAAGACTCGGCCTTTATTGTGCCCGGGAAGCGTGTTCGGAAGCTATCCGAGCGGAAGGAGTGGGAGGCCACAAGCATCACCAAAAAGAAGGAGAACAGGCACCCCAAGAAAGGTAAAAGTAGCAAGAGTTCCAAGGGTGTGTGAGCAGACGTACTTTACTGAGGTATCATGGGACGCGTACTTAGATATCATTACTTATGTGACGTATGTACTTGCCCTTGCCAATAGAGCTTCTGCGTGATCTATCATAAAGCACTGGACCCGTAGTGATGCTCCGAACCCCGAGGCTTACGCTCCGAACGTTAAAAGTGTCTAAGTCCCGAGCGCTTATGCTGGGGAGTTGAAAATTTACCAAGTCCACGAGCGCTTATCTGAGAGGTAACAAGTCCCAAGGTGCCGTTCTATGTTTCTGCCGTTGTTCTGTGCAATTGACTGGGTGTTTGGAGTCCAGTGATGACTCAGGGATATATTGTCGAAGTAACAGGTACATAAAATATTTTATAACATATTGCCGCTGCCTAACATATGTTTTATAACATATTGCCGCCTAACATATGGGTTCTTTGAAGCAAAACATTCTTTGAAGCAAAACATCCCTTCTCCCAAACCACCCCCATGATGTGGTGGATGATTGGGCACATTGACGAGGTGACGAGGTGAGCAAGCGGGCTTTTGCTTTCTCTGACATACAGATATGTTTCTCCGCATTGCGGGGTTCCAAGGAGAGGGATCGGGTACTTTTATCGGTTCTCGGTTCGATCGGGCAAAATAAAAGAAGCATTCACCAGATCTCACGGGAGATTCTTCGTTGCCCATTTCAAGACACACCTTTTATGGATGGCGGGGCGCAGAGCGCAAATTAATCCCAGCATTGCCCACCTGGCGCAAAGCCGACGCGCGCCAGTGCCAGCGGAGCGAAAGGTAAATTATGTAACAAGGACTGTGTGATATATAACGCGATGCATCAGGCAGTGCTCACTGTTAGTACAGGTGATGATACATAAAAGGTGCACTGTAAGAACAGTCTCTTTATGTATCCGTAGGACATCTACGCCTGCTGGGGGACAGCGCAGCAGCCCATCTGAGGCCCATCGAGTGTTTCAAACGGGTCTCAAACCCTAGCGTACTGCCCGTCACATACATGTAATTGACGAGATATAACAGCTACTATTCTAAACGGTGTCCTGAACCCTGATCATACATCGTGCATATTATGGCTACTAAGGTCTAAGTAACATACTAAATGCCTACGAGAACCCCAAATGCTCAACAAGACTCTGCCAGGCGGCATCCAGCGTAGGTGGTACAGGCGTATTCGGCGGCGACCCCGGGGGGTACGACGGCGCTACGGGATACCCACTCAGCACATTCATCCCAGGCACACCTGGCAGCGAACCACTTCCACCTCCAAAGGCATTGGCATTAGCATTCGGGCCGCCCATGCCACCCCTAAAGAAGTCCAGGAACTCTACATCCGGGATCGGCTGCGGCTGGCCGACGCTCTGGGTGAGCTCCGCATCCATCGGTGAAGACGCGGACACCAGGAAGTTCGGCGGGAGGTCCGTCATCCGGTTGAACAGCGGCGCACCGATGTCTAAGTTACGAAGATCTTGCGCGATGGTAGGATGCATGTTTATGCCAGCGAAGAGATGATCCATGCTACAGACGTCTGTGAGGGTGGCGGAGCTGCAGCGTGAGGGACCGCTTGAGGAGATGGTAGCGGTAGCGGTAGTGACAGTGACAGTGGAGAGGAGATGTGTCTTGCCGCCGATACGGTCAAGCTCAGCAGGGGTCATAGGTGAGATTGGCGCAGATGGGTCGGTCCTGTTGACGGCTTCGTGCGCTTTGTGGCGTAATGTGCGCATTGCGTCCTAAGTAGGGGAGTGAACGACAGGGGGAGCAATGCGAAAGAAGGACATACGACATTAAGTGAGGCAGTTTTACATGTTGGTGCTGCTTTTTCAAACAGGGCAAGCGCCCTATCGAGTTCCTCCAATGCGCTTGCTGTCAGGTTAGAACTCGGCGCTCGGGTGACTAGCAGACACATCACGATCTACAAAACAGCCAGCATTTAACACGACGAGCGGTAAGGGAAAGATCGGGGACTATTCACCGAAGCGGAGAGCGCTTGTGACCACGCCAGTGCTACGCGGCTCATGATCAGGTTATTCACGTTGTACGACATGATCACCGTTTCTATGAGCCTCCAGGCTGAGCGATAGGTCGCCAGCATCGAAGGGCCGTAACGGTGCTTCAAATAGTCAAGCGGTTGCTCCTGCAGAGCCTGCGCGAAGTACCCTCGATGGAGATTTAGGAGGACTAGCAACGCCACATCACATCACCATAAGCGCGCTCGAAGAAATACAATCAAACGAAGACGACACGCACCAGTCTCCTTAGCGCAGAGGACGAACCACCGCTGGGCATCGAATGCGGGGCCAACGATTTGATCTGGAGTGACGCACGCAGGCCGAAGGTGGGATGGTATTGGGAAGTCACGGATTTTGCGGTCGAGTTCGAGGATGGTCGCATACGGCGGTGGCTTCGGTACAAAAGCCGTACTGATCACGCTCTGCAGTAATGCAGAATAGCGCCAGCACCAAGGGTGAACTAAGCGGTTACACATTGTTGCGTTAGCAGATTCTACCAATAGGCTGCAGCGTGGAAGACGACGTACATCCCATCTCGGCCTGCCCCTGGCTGTTGACCACCTCCTCGCTGTCTTTGGGGAATTCGCAGTCGACATGGGCTAGTGTGATACTTGAGGGACGGCCGAAACTGAAACTCTGTTATAGAGAGGTTGATCAAGAAAGTAAAAAAAGAGCCCGACATGCATTTACCATCCACGTATCCCGCGACAACAATTGCCAGAATACACGACTACGACGTTCGACCATTTGATCACTGAGGTGCCACCTAGCGCCGTTGAGATCTAGGTAGACATTTAAGTGTGCGAGGCTATACTATCGTGTAGGACATACGTACGCAAGCCAATCTACATTTCCTCTTGATGAGACTTTCCAACGGTCGCACATGAACATGCAAGCACTCACACCATACGCTAATCGAAACGCATAGCCCAGGTATACCCATCCTTGCATGGAACCCACAAATTCCCAATCGTGTAAGTCAAGAAACTCGGCGAGGTGGGTCTGCGAGAGGTGGGTACAATAAGATATATGGAACGGTTCTTCTAATATTGCCACTCACGAGGGTGAGTATTGAGTTTAATGTAGTATGGAAGGTGGGCGGAGAGAGATTCAAGGCTGCACGAGAGAGAAGGAAGTATTCGTGGGCGTCCGGCGAATACGGCGGCCGGTTGGGATCAAACAGGACGGCGATAGAGAGAATGGCAAAGAGAAGCGCGATCGCATGATGGACTTGAGAACCATCAAACGACCTTGACAGATATATCAGATCATGAAGATGGTCATTACTAGCAGGATCGGCGTACTCGGGAGAATATACCACACCCAGTACCTCCTCATCGATATCTCTGCGAAGGAGAGGCCCGAATCTTGACGAGAAATGAATAAGTAAATGGTAATGACAATAACTCGCTTGCTACTCACAGAATCTTGCCGAATTCCAAATACACCTCAACGAGACGCTCTGATTCCGCGCGAGGCGGAATGTGTTCGATGATATCTTGGAATAGTTCTGTGTTCCCACTAAGATCTCCCTCCGGACAGCCAGCGTTGACCACGCGGGTTGACAGCCGTGATTGGGGCAGCCGGACTTGGGGTAGGGACTGTCCTGATGAAGCCTAAATAATGTTAGTCTTCGTACGACGCCCACGAAACAAGGAAATCGTACCCGAATAAGATACTGAGCCGTATTTCAGCAAGAGGGATCATAGGCGATATGGCATAGGAGGCGCACCTCAGACCGCGCAGTTTGCCCGAGGAAGTTTGCCTCCCCGCGCGGACCTATGGTCAATGTCCCTACCGAGACATAAGCTTTGCTGACCATTGTCAGAGTGTTGTCGTCCATACCAAACGCATCGATCATGCTCTCTTCCTCTACGTGCGACGCGTCGACGGCGGGTGATGTGGTGGCGGGGGGCGCGGGCGCGTCCTTCGGCTGCTGAGGTGAGCGAGCTGAGAGGAGGTCATTGCTGAGGAGCGGGTGGGGGGTAGTGGATACGGATGCTTGGAGGGTCCGCAATGCGTCTTCAAGCTCGCGGATCCGCGCACATAGTGTGTCGATCCGGTCGTGCAGTTCTTCGGTGTTCGCAAGGATAAGTCTACCGTCCACCATCAACGTCTGGTTCGCCCTTTCAGCACGCCCACTGACCTGTTGCCTTTGCCAGGCGTCAGCGCACCTATTATGTGCCATTAGCGTTGCTCATCCCCTTTAGAGGCGCACTACGCACCGTCTGGACATATTGACCCACATCCCCGCGAAACACATTTCTCGCATGGAACCTACGCACAGCATGTCAATTCCTTTGTGCGGGCTGGCGAACGAGCTCGGCGCACACTACGATCACAACGAAGCTTGAGACGACGGCATTCAGCACACGAAGTCGGCCTAAGACGCTGTCAGTACAACTTCTAAGAACGAGAGCTTAACCACGCACACTCTACCTGGCTTCTTCCGAGGCTTTGACTGCGCTGAATCTCTGGGACCCGCCATGGTTGCAAGCGCAACTTTAAGAGTTGGTTTGTAAGAGGGTAAACGAATGATTGCGCCGCAATCAGGGCCGTGTTGCGCGGAAGGCGCTGCAGCTAAATCAGCAATACAGGGGTTGTATAGGAGTTCTCCTAAATTGAAGCCCGATTTTGTATCCTAAGGTCCCATCTTATCCAAACAGCCAACCTAACACTTGTGCGCCCTTTCGCGAGTGTCATGCTGATACTACGTCAAATTTTTCGCTTGTATACTCCATTCGCCTATCGCACGTTTCAAAAGGGACAACCGCACAATCTTCAATTCAGTCATCGCGCCACCATTTGGACTTGTGACGCAGTGAACGCAGCTTCACTGGCTGGGGCGCGCCCCTGGCGAAGCAGAAGTACTCGGCGATACTCGTAGCGTGCGCGATCTGGATAGTGATGTGTATGAGGGAGGGGAAGCTTTTAAACGCGACGACCACGTCCTCCTAGTCCCAAGATGACTCCCCGACAAGTGAGGGTCCAGCGACGACCCCGTGTGGCGAGATCCGCAAGGAACGCATTTTTATCGCGCCTTTTAACATACCAAGCTGGGCGAGGGTTACGGGGATTAATGCTTACGGTGGAAGGTACGCCGGTTGGCCAGTGAGAACATGGCTGGAAGTAGAGGCTTACGGAGTAAACACCTATCTCCAAGCACTCCATTTTCAGCATGCGCGCGGCTGCTGTTGCGACGTGACTGAATTCGAGCGGCGGGAGAGCACAGACGACGACATTACGAAGGGTAGCATCGTCAAGGTTAAGAATATTGACCCCCACCAGCTTCAAGTGCGTGACGTGGTTTCTGGCCAGAAATCGTCCTGCAGCTCTCTGGTCTAGAGCTTGAAGTACTCGTAGTTGGGGTAGTATCGGAATGGGATCTGACATGGGAGGAACGGGCGTCCGAGGGATGTTGGTGCGAGAGGAACCAATCCAACCCAACTCTGTCTAGATTCCCTAGGATATACCACCTGAAGCTTTGGAGCGTAAATGGAGCAGGAGAACTCTGCGACTGGGGATCCTCAAGCCAGGTTCGAAGGCTGAGCGGGCTTGAGTCAGTCCGCCACCAAGACTCAACGTCCAAGTCTGCGAGGTCGAGCAGCTTTAGGATCGTCTGGAACAATGTGTATTGCTCCCTGCGTAGGAAGACCCCACCGGTAAGGCGGAGTCGTTTGACACACCGTGGGCACCAACTCCCTCCTGTAGTGATACCGTGGAGAAAGCTGCGGCCCATGACCAATATATCGGTGTCTGAGAGTCGGGCGTCGTTAAGACCAAAGAAGGAGACATCAGTATGAAGATACAGTTCTACGAAAGGCGTGTGATACAAGGAGGAGGTTGAGAAAGGACTTGTTGTCTTCAACAACGTATTCTGTAATCACTTTAGCGATCTCAACAGGAATCGCGACGACCATCCCGAGCCTCGAGGTCTGCTTGGTTCCGAAACGGCGAAAGCGCAGAAGTCAGAAGCTCCCGTAACCCTAACCCTTTGTGAATTACCTTTAGTATTGCAAACCCGTGCCGCCGTGCCGGGTCATACCACCATCGATGCTCGTTGTACGATGGCATCGATTAACGCGTTCTATACTCTCCCCTGTCCGTAGTTTCGCCAGGATGGCGACTCCAGAAACCCTTGCCACAGAAATTGCCGCGCAAACGACACTACTCAATGATCTGCGATTACAAAAGGCTGAAGCTGCACTCGTAGAAGACGCCAAGAAGAAGCTCGGGGAGTTGAAGAAGACGCTGGCGACATTGCGCGGAGGCGGTACCAAAGATGCTGGAAAGAAGAAAGAGAGGTTGCTGCTAAAGACAGCCAAGGTACGTTCAGTCCCCCTCAATATTCTGTCCCCCAACGAAAAATAAAGTAGGGAACAAGGGACTATGGCCCAGGAGAGATGTTCTGTCGCGAACACATCGAACGCACGGTCAAAGAATGTTTTACTATGTACGGTGGCAGCTGCCTCGATACCCCGGTCTTTGAGCGCAAGGATATTTTGGCTGGGAAGTACGGCGAAGATGCAAAGTTGATTTTCGATCTCATGGACCAGGGAGGAGAACAGTTAGCTCTGCGGTACGATCACACCGTTCCATTGGCGCGATATCTGGCTATGAACGGAGGAGTGACGCCAAGTTCGAAGTTGTGGCAAGTAGGGAAGGTGTACAGAAGAGATAATCCCGTTATGTCTAAAGGTCGTATGAGGGAGTTCTCGCAAGCTGTAAGGACGTCGTTTTTGTCACGACCGTCGGATTGTTGATGTACCCTTCTAGGACTTCGATATCTCAGGCGTTTGGGACCCCATGATCCCTGACGCCGAGTTGATCAGTCTCCTCTGCACTATCTTGACAAAACTGGAGATTGGCGACTTCACCGTGAAGCTCAATCACCGCAAAATACTCGACGGTCTATTCGAGGTCTGCGGTGTCCCCTCAGACAAGATACGTACGATATCATCTGCCGTTGATAAACTCGACAAAGTTCGTATTGCCCTCAGAATCCCCGTTTACTTTGATTAAAGGGGAATGCAGATGTCCTGGGTCGATGTCAAGAAAGAGATGACTGATGAAAAGGGATTAGACCCAACAGTTGCTGATAAGATCGGAGAGTACGTTAAACTGAAGGGTACGTCCTGTTCCCTCCCACAATGATGAACGGTTAATTGACCCTTAGCCTTAAGGTGGGCTGGATCTTTTGGAGAAACTCGAGGCGGACGCGACACTCATGGCCAACGCCAACGCCACGCAAGGAGTAGCAGAAATGAGGATCCTCTTCGGTCTCCTTAAAGCGTATAAAGTTATTGATAAGGCAAGGATTATACGGCTGGGTCTGGTGATTTATTGCTTATGAATCCGTTGATCTAGCTTTCATTTGATTTATCATTGGCACGGGGGTTGGACTATTATACAGGTTTGATCTACGAGGCTGTTACAGAGGCATCAGCCCCACCAGGTTTCAACGCCGCCAACGCGTCAGCCCCACCACCCGCTGCACCTACTACGCCTGCTCCCGCCCCCAAATCCAAGAAATCGAAAACAGCGAAAGACGACGAAGAGGAGATCGACGAAAACTCGGTTGGGGTGGGTTCAGTCGCCGCTGGGGGGCGCTACGACAACCTCGTCGGCATGTTCGCCGCCGCCGCTGCGGGTGAGGGGAAGAAGTCGTCTGGCTTGCCGTGCGTCGGCGTGAGCATCGGTCTCGACCGCGTGTTCGCCATTCTCTGGCCGAAGTGGGTCGAGCGAGGGATGCGGAGCAAGGAGACGATGGTATACGTTATGGCCGCGGGGGATGGGTTGCTTCAAGAGCGCCTGGAGCTTGTACAGGAGCTGCGGGCTGCGGGGCTGAAGACCGATTTCCTGGCCAAGAATAAACCCAAGCTCCCCACCCAGTTCGCGGCCGGTGAGCGAGATGAGGTTCCTTTTGCTGTTATTCTTGGAGGCGACGAGCTGAAGGAAGGGCTGGTTACCGTGAAGGAGCAGAAATGGGAGCTGGTCGATGGGGGGAAGGCGAAGATTGAGACCGCGGACAAGGGCACCAAACTTCCGAGATCAGAGTTGGTTACCTGGCTCCAGAATTCGCAGACGTTCAAGGAGTGGTCGACCGGGAGGCTAGTATAGATGATATATTATGCGCCTTATGGATTATCATTCACGCCGTGTCTTCCATTCCTATCATACCTTAGACTCAGGATGTGATGTAGCATCCTTCTGTACTAGTGTGAGTATTGGGCGTCTTCCGAGACGTTCGTGTGAGTCGGCCTGCTACTCACTTCTTGCCTTCTCACTTCGTGACGAAAACTAGTCCTTATGGCTTTTCTCTTCTCTCAGCGCCCTCGAAACCCGCCCTTCCTCTCGGACGGTCGTCTCCGAGTGATAAAATTAGAATTTGTCATCGACCATTGCGCAATCGCGTCGGCCCTCGCGACCCAAATTTTCCAGCCTCGGAACCTCTCTTCTTCATACCACCGTCATTGAAGGCAAGCCCAGGACCAGCGTAGTGCCCCCGAAGGAGATCTGAATACACAGCGATGGAAGAAGTAACGCCGGCAGCGCAGATCATTCGACCGGCAGGTGAGTAACCGTCCACTTGTTCAAGGCTGTCGTATTGAGTGTACTAGGTCTGCTAGAACGACTTCACATCTCTCGCCAGCGTCTTGGTTTGGGTGCAACTGTCCTCGTTGCTGCCAAGTTCGTCGCGTCCAATTCATCCCAGGAGCGTTCCTTGCACCGCGATGAATTCCATGACGCCGTAGTTGAAGCCATCGACCAGCATCCAGCTCTTGCCGTACGAATTCACAATGAGGTCGAGACCACCGGCCCTCCTTCGCTCATGCGCATGTCAGCTGTCGATCTCGACCAAGGAATACAATTCCTTACTTCGGAACAGAGTTCTAAGGGGTTTCAAGCCGTTGTCGAAGACGCGTTGGTCACGCAGTTTGACTCGTCCACCGAAAATAGCCCGATGTGGCGCTTCACGGTCTTACCGGACAATCATGTCATATTCCTATACCACCATGTCCTCGGTGACGGGCAGAGTGGGCTTGGTGTTCTTCAGACCGTCGTTCAGGCACTGAACAAGGCTGCTGGAGCGTCGACAACTGTGGTTCGCGAACGCTTCTATATACCACGGCAGAAGCTAGAACTTCTCCCGCCGATTGAGGAACGCACCAACTGCGATATCACGCTACGAACTTTCTTCCACGCCATCATCGACGAGCTTTTGCCTTCGTGGACGAAGAACAAAGTTTGGACGGGAAACCCTGTGTTGCCAGCCGTGCCTACTCCGCCGGGTCGCGTTGCGACTCGAGTAAGGATCGTCTCTCTGCCTCCGGACGCCGCCTCGAGACTGCTAACGCAAGCTCGATCGCACCAAACTACTATAACAAGCATAATCCATGTTTCTGCAATACTCGCCCTCTCGCATTTGCTTACCGAGCCTCACGTTTCTTCGAAGACTCCCTCTGACACTGGAGACAGCAAGGAGGTTCATCACACGAACGCGAACTCGAAGTACGAGAAGATAAAATCACATACTGCCGTCTCTCTCCGTTCATTTGCTAATGTTCCCTCGACAACAATGTACGAAACCGCATCGGCGCATGATCATTCGGAGACCATCGTCTCAACGCGACTACCGTTTCCATGTTGCGCCTCGGCCGCGCCGCAGAGCTGGAAAGACGACTTCCCGTGGTCCAAGGCCTCTCGTATCTCGAAGGATCTCAAGAAAGGCGGCCCGTATGCGCGTTCAAAATTGGGTCTACTAAAGTTCCTGGACGGGAAGTTCGAGGGGTACTGGGCCGGAAAGCTGGGGAAGAAACGAGACGAAAGTCTGGAGTTATCAAACGTCGGTTCGTGGTCCCTTCAAACATCCGCCCAGCCCAACGGAATCCAAGACGGGCAGTCAAATGAGAAGGACGAAAGCGAGAACACCAAGTGGGGTGTCCTCAGTGCCTATTTCGCTCAGGACGACAACGTCGTCGGCTCGGCAATGAAAGTGAATGTCATCGGCAGTCCAAACGGGGAACTGAACGTCTGCGTCACATGGGGGGAGGGTGCGGTGGATGACCAGCTTGCTGAAGCTTTTGCGGGAGGATTGAGGCACGGGTTAGAGCAGTTGTCCAGCGCGTCGCCCTAGATCTATTAGGCTTTCCCTTTCCACAGGGCACCTGAGAATGGCGGGCATGTTATCAAGTAGACTTCAATCCATTCTTGCCTTAAACTTCCCCCGCAGCGCCACTTAGTTGTGCAGGGACCCCACTTGGCACCTCCTGAACCCACATGAATATCGTCGAGGATAACTTGATGCGCCTGTAGGCGCTGCCGTTTCTTTTTGGCATTTCGTGCTATCATGGAAGGGATGTCATTGTCAAAGTGATGGATATTCAGTCAATTGCATACCTGACAGCACGAAGACGACATACAGACTCCAACCCGGAAGCAGCCTGTTACTTGACCCACTTCCGTCGCTTTCGGTTGATCCTCAAGCTTGCCGGCCCTCCACATCGTACACGATGGCCGCGCACTCCCGGAATATAAAGCTATATTTAGCAGCACCGAACTCTCCAGGATGTTGCCACCGCTCAAGGCCGTTCCGTTCATATCAGCAAACGGTGCTCCGGCGGTATAATGTACAGAACCCTTGTCCTATACAATCTTGCCGAGCGCTTACTAGGACCGGCTCCTCGACGTTAATCCACTTGCAACTATACTACAGGCACAATTAAACTCTCTTCCCAATGCAGGACTCCGACGCGCTCTTGGAGTTGATAGCCGTGTCCACTGCACATGCTCTCATGTACGATTATTCTATGTGCCCAACGTCGGGATGTGTCTCGCGTATTCCTTGCCGAATGCCTGCTGCCCGGTTAGTGCTCTTCAACATCTACAGCTGCCAACCAATGTCAACAACACAACGGCCGGACCTGACGCCCTACTGTGCTGCTCCACAATGTATACACCCCCGCGATGGACGGTAGGCTAATGGCGACGCTAGGATCATGTCAATGGGATGGATGTTGTCAAACACCAAGATGTCACTTTGTCTTGCCTTCCACAAACGTTTATAAGGGTGCCATAGATCGCATTGCAATCATTATCCAGCAATCCCAGCTCCCCTCCTTCACGAACAGCGCCCTAGATATTTTATTCTCAATGACTACCTTCGCTGAATTCGCCGGCAGTCAGCTTACTAGTCCCACTCAAGCCATCGTGCTATTAGCATCGCTCATCTCAGCAAGTGTATACTTCTTCCTTAGGGCAATATTCCCTACTCGATTGGTGGACAAGCATGGCAACTCGATTCCCTCTGGACCAGTTGGCCTCCCAGTTTTGGGTTAGTCCATAGCATCCATACATCGAGTCTTTTAGATAACAGATATCAATAGGCTCCTTCCCCTTCTTGACGAGATATCCGGAGTTGACGCTGGACTACTGGGCAAAGAAGTTCGGTCCTCTGTACTCTCTTTGGCTCGGCAATCAGCTTTTCGTCATCGTCTCGGATCCTCAAGTGGTGAAGGACCTTATGGTTACCAATGGCGCCATATTCTCCTCCAGGAAGGAGATGTTCCTGAAGTCGAAGACCATCTTCGCGGGACGTGGAATCACCGCCACTCCGTACAACGAAACCTGGTATGAGCAATACCACATTATTCAAGTCCTAACTAACCTCTGGATAAGGCGCAAGCACCGCCGTATTGCTGCTGGTTCCTTGGTCCAGAAGGCTGTCGACGGGTACACCCACGTCCTTGACTACGAGGCCACAATTCTCGTCAGGGAATTGTTCACATATGGCCAGGCGGGCAATGCCCCGATAAACCCGCAACCGCACGCCGGGCGGTGCTCGTTGAACAACATGTTGACAATTGTCTTCGGCACTCGTACGGATTCGATTGACCATCCCTTGGTTGGTCGCGCCCTCCGTCTTTCCCGCGAATTCATGTGAGTAGTCGACAACACCCCGTCCCTCCTTTACTAACTGTAGTCTTCAGGAACTGTACTGGACCCGTTTCTAACTTAATTGACTTCGTTCCCCTCCTCCAAAAGCTCCCGAACTACATGACTTCCCGTGGCAAGCAACTTCACAAGGACCTCGTTGAGACATATGGCGGAATGATCCTCGACATCGAAAAGCGCATGAAGGACGGAGAGAAAGTCCCTGACTGCCTCGTGAAAACGATGATTGAAGTGAAGGATGAGGAACAGCTTGATCACGTTGATATGGCCATCCTCTGTGCAGCATTCATGATTGGTGGTGTCGAGACGGTACGTTTCTTCTTGGCTCTTTACTTCCTGGATGTCGCTGATCTCTGATGTAATTGCTCCTTTCTTGCAGACGGCTTCGATTATGCAGTGGTTCTCAGCTCTCATTCCAGCGTATCCTGAAATCCAGGCCAAGGCCCACGCTGAACTGGATCGTGTTGTTGGTCGCGGGAGATTACCAACCGTTGAGGACGAGAAGAACATGCCATATATCCATGCCATCGTCAAGGTGCGCAAATTTAACAGGGCCTCTCCTAGCATAGATTGACACTCGGAGCAGGAGGTCGAACGTTGCCACAACCCATTCTGGCTCGGAACGCCACATGTGAACACTCAGGACTTCACCTACCGAGGCCAATTCATTCCCAAGGACACTGTCGTTGTGCTCAACACTGTAGGTGGAGTATTTGGCAAAGACGAGCCAGCTAGCCTAACTCTAATTGCAGTATACCATGCACCACGACCCCGCTCGCCATCCTGATCCCCACACCTTCAATGTAAGTTGTCATCTATTTCCTCTGCGTGACATTATTCACCGTTTCTTAGCCGGACCGGTACATCAACGACCACACACTTTCTTCCGAGTCTGCTAATCTTAGCAATGCTTATGAACGTGACCACTGGATGTTTGGCGTAGGGTAAGTCCTCGACTCACTCCAAAGAATCTATATTCATCCTCTTGTTGTATTATTCAGCCGCCGCATTTGCCCTGGTATGTGGGTCGCTGAGCGTGAGGTTTGGTTGGCGATCTCTCGTATGTTATGGGCTTTCAAGATGGAAGAAATTCCTGGAGAGCCCATCGATCTTAAGGAGTACGACGGCCTGTCTGGTCGCTCTCCCGTACCTTTCCGCATCAAGATGATTCCTCGTGATCATAAGGTCAAGGAGGTTCTCGGGCTTTAAGTTGAGCCCCATGAACACTCCCGTATAACAATCTGTCAATGAATGCAATGGGTATTTATTAGCTACAGACAGCCCTTAGATCCGGTTAACATATTGCTTCTGCTTATAATATAGAGAAATACAAGAAATATATTCGCTATTATTTCCATAGAAATTAAATCAAGCTTAAAGAGTCACAGAAGCCGCCGCCTGAGACTATCATTATATAGGGCACTTGTCTGTTAGAGCGAAATTGCGATTATGATGGGTGTGCGCAGAGTAATCGTGGAACCGGAGTAAACTTAGAAGGACAAGTACATTACATTTTGGACGGATCCTGACAAAACTACGGTTTAAGCAAACTTTTAACTAGTCCCATACGTTCGTGACCGACTGGATAAGCGATCAAACTGGCGAACCAGTAGTGCACATTACGTTCCGGCATTCCGCAAGCATGATGGACTTAAAATTCTGATTGCTTTGTTTTATTGATTGTCCATCCCCGAGGAAAGTCAAGGGTGTGGAAGACGTGATGATGACGGAGCGCGAACTCGGGACGGAGGCCGGAACGGAGTTCTTACAGGGAACGATGTACATGATAAGCACACTTCCATACAGCGAATGGAATCCAGGAATGCAGGGTTGGCGATGTGTCGACCATAGTACTGTCTTGTAGCCTTGAACTTCCTGTTGAGAGACTTGCATCGCGTTTTTGAGCAAGAGCTTGTGGCTCCGCCTGATTCTCCATGAATTATACTCCGCATCTCCCGCTGCTCCAAGCATGCAATGTTCCTGCTACTCTATGCTGGTCGCAAAGCGCTCAAAAGCTAGCGACTCCGATACTCCAATGAGTCGGTCTTTGTGGATTCCAAGAAGGAAAGGAAACGTCAAAAACCAATATACGTTCGGGCCGAGTCGGCCAAGGCGCCAGGAGCCCTGGCAGGATACTGCTGTCCGCGAAGGCAATTTGTAGGCTACGACATCAGGCACACACTGGTACCCAGCGTAATGCTGACGTTCACTTCTTCGAATTCGAATCCTTCACTTACTTACATTGCTTCGCGTTCAGCATGCCTGTGCCGACAGTGCGCATTTAGGTCGGCCTTTAACTTCCTTTGTCCTCTTTTCTTCGACTTCTATCTAGCCTGTGGAGCACGTTGGTGAGCATTGGTCGAATGTTGGTCAAAGGTGAGTAAGTGGCAAAGTCGTTCTCCGCTGTAATACCAACCGTATTCCCAGCTCGGCTCTATCCTCCATCTCTATTTCCCGATCATGCCGTAGTGTCTCTATAGACCGGTTCACGCGTCCATGAGCCGTTTGTCTGAGTTCTAAGTCAAACGTTACTTCAGGCTGTTCTACGATGAGCTGCATTGTGGCGTTCCTGATCCATTGGATAATTCGAGAGCCTGAAGATATTGAGGTACCGCATCAGCGCGCAGACTATCGACGTCATTCCGAAGGTTGCAATGGGAATATCGATGGGGATATGTACGGCATTGATAAACGAACTTCAAATCGTCTGCTCGACATTATTCCAAGTTTCTGGATTCGAGTCGCCTGCAATTGACAGTGGAGAGCAACGAACGTGTTTGGCCGTGGGTCCCGTCTAACTAGTGAACGGATTTGCGAATCGTGTTCGGGCGCATGTGCACAAGGTCGCAAATATAATTATCGTTCCGCGGTCCAAGCAAGCTGCATATGAATCGAGGAACTATGGTTCACTAAGAATAGAGTAAGTGTTCTCCCTTCATACTCAATTATGGAAGGATATAGCATGGTTCAACCTACCTTAAGTAGGCATCGATTTCGACTTATGATCCAGATTTCAGGCGATTCAAGCTACTGCAGCGGGCCCGGGCTACTGGACAAACTCAGGATCTAAGGCTCATTTCGTCTAACTCGTCATATTACGATCGCCTGCCCCCACTGTCTGGGGGTGAGGCGGGGGTGGGGAGCCACTAAAGTGTTAGTGACTCCACCGACCTATCACCAGGGATGTGTCTGAAGAAGATAAGGGCACATAAGCGAATAATATCAAACAAGAATAGGGATACAACCTTTACGCATTTAAACATATAACATATAACGTTTGATTGGGAGATCTAAAGGAAATGAAGGGAACTCCAAGGCGGAGAAAGGGACCGTGGAGAATTCAAAATCATGAACAACTGGATTGAATATACGACGACGATGCTGGCGCTGAGGACCACAAGACAGTGAACGAGAAGCCAGGCCATATTTTGTGTGTGCGTGTTGAGGGGAGGAGGTTGTTTGAGGTAAACTCATTGAGGCAGTTCACATCTCACAATCTTGTGGGAACAGGTGACGATACAATGGACGACGAGCCATGGCAGATACACGCCCAAGCTTGTTATCTTAGTCCTTCGTGCAGTGAACCGCGGAGCCAAGCGTCTCCAGCCAGGGATATTCTACAACCATTCGGCATGCCGCATGCTGCGCAACGAGCACCTGAAGCATGAAGCTTTGAAGTGCCAGTCGGTGTTGCAATACCGAAGGTTTGAAAGTCCGGCTATTAATCCATCGATATCAATGCATCGGCATTTATGCTATTGAGAGCAGAAGAGGCATACGCACCATGATGAGTGCAGAGTGGCTTTTCTTGATCCGTAAACTCGGAGCTCAGATGCGAGCAGAGCAGTGCTTATGCGAAGGGTCCAATGCCTCAAGGTATAGATAGATGACGAATGGTGCTTCCCTTCTCCCCTGATCGTATATTTAGTGATCCAGCGGATGTATCGAAGAACGAATGGCAACCTAACCCCGCACTCTCACTGCTAATCTATGGCCTGATAGATCCAGCCCTGCGTCTTACGCTTGCCTCTAAGCTATCTTAGCTCGGAGCGTGCATGGTATACGAAAATCTGGGTAAAGAAAGTCAGCGGCACATTGATTGTAGAGGTCCTCACAGAAAGTCGTAAAGTTGAACTGACTACAGCGAAGTGTCTGGTATGAGCCGGCCCGACAACGTGCTATGTTAGGCTTATTCTTCTTTCTATGCCTAAGCCTTCGAGAAGAACGCAGGAGGAACTGATGAAACGGATTTAGTATTGCAGATTGGGACGAGAACGAAGTTCATGATCAAAATAGGATTCAATAGTTCAGTTTAGCTTTCCCACGGTTAGAAAATTTGGTGATTTACACGTTTGACTCAAGACAATGCCCAGCGACTTTCTGAAGCACCAAGAACATCGTGTACATCGCCGTCGAGGACTGCACACCTACTACCGTTCTTGGACACCGCGATGCTAGGAAGAAACACTGTGTTTGACCCCAAGTGTACCCAAAAGAGTATCTGGATGAAATGAACTCGAATCGCACCCACGCCTCAGGCCTCCAGGACGATACATTCCGGTGAAATTTGGATCTCGCGCTGAGTCCGGAGCCAAGCAGACGAACTGACTCCAAGTCGTGACTTGAAAGCCGACCAGTTAATTATGCTTTCGCCACTGTCTGCGGTGGTTCTTTCCCCGGCCCTGCCTAAAACTTGAAGACCACACTCCTGGTTGTCGAAGCTGGAACGTATGCATTTCTGGAAGGACTTTATACTTGGACTTACGACAGGACGCTCAGTTGATTGGTCGAACAGGCGGCGAATGTGAATGGTTTACTTGGACATTTGTAATTGCCGTAATCTGCATGTGCCTCCCCGACGACAACCAAAAATATCTCTCTGGTCTCATGGACCTAGTGCTTCTTGTCGCTCCAAGGGCGGTGATCGGCGCCGCAGGTGTTCTTCGTCAACATGCAAGGTCTTTGATATACGCCGCCGTACGTACGGCGCTCAGGCGATACGAATAGCAGAAGCGCGATTTACGCGGAAGAACCGAAATTTGAAGGAGTCTCCCTTCGAATAGTGGACGCATATCGCCGCAATGAATTGCGCCCGGTCTTTCAAATTTGAGCTACGACATACGCGCCTTCTCAAACTTTTACGCCGCTCTAGGAATATCAAGCGTGCCAACTATGACTGTGCCCTTGTTTCTTTCTATGGTTTTGCGGAAACGTCCCTTGGAACGCCGTACATAGCGTCGTAATCAACCATTCGCTGTGATCATGGCGTTAGGGCCTCTATCGCTTTCGTTCAGCCGACGCGGCCTATCACACCGTGTCTAGACTGTCTAGAAACAATATCTCTCCCCAGCCCGAACTCATCAGACCGTACTACTGATGCCGAATGTCGAGGAATGATGGCGCACAGGCCAACGTCGCCTGTCGCTGCTGTTTTCATTCATTTGGTCGGGTCCGTTTCCCCGAGGCCCAGGAAAAGAATACTTTGCACGCACTCCTAGTCGGTACAGAACAACACACTACACGTCCCCTCAACTTCCAAAATATCCCATCATACAATCGAGCGGAATCAAATGGAGCCAAGTGAATAGATAAAATAGATAGCGGCCCAGTGGTTTGATCGCCCATCGCTTTCCTAGACGCCTGTCTATCTCTTCCCTACGCCGCTCGCTTCCTTTTCCCAATGCCTCGAGCTTGTACGAATTTCGACTCGTGCGGAAGAGGGAGGTGGACACGTAACCGTCGACGCATCGGAGTAGTCTTTCGTCCGCCAAGGTCCCCCAATCAGTACCACAATACGAATCAAAGTCTTGCCTCCCCAGGTAGCGAAGGTCTCGGCCAGCCTCCTTATGGCCCGTGCTTGGGTACAACTTCAACGGCGCTCCTCGAACGATGTCACACGTCTGCAGCGTGTGCATCGTACCTCATCTATGGCGTTGTCTCAAAACCGGACAGCGTAGAATTCTGTTTCTGGGATCCTCATCATTTGTTCGGTTCGTGGGTTCGAGTTTAAACTTGCGAGCCGTTCAACGACACCTCCTCATGGTGACCCCATGTATACACGATAACATGAGTGAACTCGTTCACAATTGGATCAAACTCAAAGCACAGTGTTTAGAGGAACCCCCGTTTCTGTACGTTCTTTTCGAAGTCTCGGACCTTCTCTTCGCCTCCGAACATTTCATTATGCTGCGGAACGAAAGATATGAATG